GCTGCACTTACTTTTAACTCACGTTGTCTCCTAGTTTTGAAGCGCGCACACACACACACACACACACACACACACACACACACACACACACACACACACACACACACACACACCTAAACACAAAGTGAGTGAATGTTTTGGTTGAGCTGCTTGCACAAGTTAGCTTTAAAATGATTAACCTTCAACAACCAGCAGTCCTAAACTTTCATTTTCAAATGAATCAATGGTGAATCCAAAAGAAAATGGGAAAATTATTTAAAAGTGGTTCCAAAGAGGTAAAAAGTTTAATAACGGGACCCTTTGAACAACATGTTTTTTTGCCATATTGACGACACGAGCCACAAAAAACAAAGTACTTACTCCAAAGGAAAGAAAGTAGTACCCATTTAAACATCAAGCTGATGTCACTCCAAGCAAGTGAACAATCAAGATCACATGTAAGTGTTCAAAATAAATAAATAAAATCAGACAAACAGTGGAGACAATCTCATTTACAGGTTGTGATTGAAGGATAACCTGAGACACTTTATGAGAAGATGAGTCCCATCATGTTTCATCGTCCTCAGGAGTTTATCAGACTTACCTTGAGGCAGAGTTCCTCCCACTGACAGTGCAGGTGCTCCACCTGCTCCTGCAGCAGCAGGACGTCGTCGGCGATGATGTACTGGGACAGATCCGTCTTCATGGTGCTCAGCTCTGTCAGGCTCTCAGCCCAGTCCTCCAGGCAGTCCTCGTTCTCCTGCATACCATAACACAGCGAGCGCCACAACAAACTGTCAGACCTCCTCTCCCACAACTCACTCTACAGATACTCCCTGATGTCTCTGTCTGCCCAGCCCCTTTCTCTCTCCCTGTCTCTCTTTTCTCTCTCTTTCTACTGGCCCAGAGAGGATTAATGAGGGCCACAGGCTGCAGGCCGGCCGGGGGAGGGGATTGAGGGAGGGGGGGGGGATAAAGGCAGTGATGGGTCAGAGAGGATGTGTTGAGACAAACCTGTTTCAAACTTGGCTTTGCATTCTTTGACCTCTAGTGATCGTTTTCACCGAAGGCTCCAAGTCTGTGTGAAGTGGACTGCTTCCTGATGTCCTTACAATATGTCTTCTTCACAAACTGTTTAGTCCGGTTTGGATATTTTAAAAAGGGGCTTTTATTGCTATTGTCACTATGAAAAGTTATGTGAATCTAAACTTTACATCTGTATCAATGGATTAGAATCTAGTCTTTTTATTCATTGAAGACATTTTCAAAAAGATGGTGCTTAGCGCTATCGTGTAATGCAGTACAACTCACAGCAGAATAAAAAGCCCAAATGTATAGGGAGTAGTAGAACATTTTGGGACAAAGTTCATTCAGGGGATTAAATTGGTTTCCAATTATTCCGTTCTTTAAAAAAAATACATGATACATTTAAAACCCTCCCGTTACAGTCAGGGTCAAATTGACCCGTTTGAAAGTTTGAAAATCTACGAAAAATACTTTCAAGCATTTATTTTGTATGAAACTTCTTCTACTTACCTTAAATTAGTGCAATAAACAAGTACAATGAAAATGGTTCATGTCGTGCAAATGCATGAACAGTGTGTGTTTATGTTTTGTGTTTGTGAGGCCAGCTGTGTGCAGATGTACCTTGATGTATTTCTCGGCAATCTGCAGCTCCTCTGCAAAATCTGGCATCGACTCGTTAAGTCTGGTCTTCAAGTCCTTCAACTGCAGCGTGCTGTCTCCCAGTCCGGCCTCGCAGCGCTCCCAGTTCTGTCACACAGTCAAAAACTGCTTAGAAACTCTTTAATCACACTGATCGATGCTGTGGGATCTGAACCTGCTGATAAGGCTTTGAGAACGACTTCTTTGTCTTCCTAAACCTATCCACAGTCATTCATTAGAGCAGATTACATTAACTTGGCCGCTCGCGATGCTAACAGAATATGTCAGAGGCCGAGGACAGAAGGAGGATTCAGGTGTACCAGTCAGAGATTAGGTGGTGACACAAAACATCAACAATAACTGCATATTTCTTTAAGGTTTTTAAAGACACATTTTGTAAATCTTTGCTTATGTCAGGAAATTGCTAACATTTTATAAAAATGAATTAATATTAAAAAAAATAGTCTCAATCAATGATATAGAAACTCTTCAGACCAAACATCAGTAACAGTGGGTTGAAATTGCAAAAATGAAATTAGGGCTATAAATAACAATTATTAAACATTTTCTAAACTATTAATAGTTTGTCTTTAAAATGTCCGGAAACAGACAAGTCTTTACAACATTACTTGCCTTGTCCAACAAAACATCAGAATATTCAATTGAGAAGGATATGAAGCAGAAACAAACAATTAAACAAACTGACATTAGTAAATAGAATAACAGAGAAGGTTTGGCATTTTTCTTGCAGCAGTAGATACGTTTCTTCCTGCCTTGACCACAGACCATTAAAACAAATGTTGGGCCCAATCCATGACCAGGGCCATGGGGTCCCAGTCCAGACCCAATCCCAATAAGGCCAATTAAAACCAAGTCTGACCCCATTACAAGCAAACACCCGAAGAAGGCAGCATATTTAAATTTTAAAAAAGGTAGTTAAGTCCAACATGGACCAGGACCAAGTCATGTAGGTACAAATCACTTTTCCAAAAAACAGCAGACTAAGATCTAAAAGGTGCTGTAAAATACCTGAAGGCATCACTTCATCTGCTGCTAAACCACAGTGAGTTAAGAGAACTTCCTTGCCTGCACGATAGCGTCGGTGAGGTCCATCCTCCGGCCCAGCAGGCTGTGGAGCTTCTCCCAATCCTCCTGCAGGTTTCCCAGGTCCGTCTGCAGCTGAGTCTGGGTCTCCTCGTCCCCCATGGAGAAGAGCTGCCGGCCCACTTCCAGAGTGTGGATGAAGCTGCACTGATACCTCTGGAACAACAGCTCCGTGTGCTGAGGACAGATTATATAAAAGATGACTTTAAAAAAGGACAGGAGAAAAAGAAAGGAAGACAGAAAGAGACCAGGAGAGAAAGCTTAGCAGTGAAATGCTCTGTGATTTCTGCAGTGAAGGGTTCCCTTTTATTGAGAAGCAGCTATCTGCTCCTGCTCATCTTAATCAAGCGCTCACAAGACCTAGAAAGGAATCACTCTTCCTTATCTCTTTTGTTTGGCTTTTAATCTAAATGTAATCATGAGCAGTTGTTCCCTTTTCCTAAGTCTCAAACCAGGCCTCAGGCGGAGGTTTGGTTCCTGTTTGTGGTAACGACTGATCTTTATCTCAACTAAGAGTGTTTTAAACTCATTCATAAAAACAGCCAAGTTGGTTCTGGAGGGTGTGGAAGTGAAAAAGTAGATTTGTAGGAACAGTCTGATTCAGGACAGGTCTGTATTAAAGAAGATATAAATAAAATAATCCACTCAGACCAAACCATCTTAGATCTGATGCTGTCATTTATCGCTGCGAATCTTTGCTTTTTTACATTAGAATATTCTGTCCTTGATGTTTAAAGAGGCCATATTATCCTTTTTGGGGTTGTCCAGGTTTGTGTGCATGTAAATGGTCTGCAAAGGCTAAAATCCCTCTGTTCCCTCCAGGGCTGAGTTTCCCTTCCACAAACTCCCCCGGGCCTGAAACGCCTCCATCCATTGGACTCTTTTGTTTACTTCTGTAACATAGTGATATCTCTATGTAACACTTGCGCTCCCTATTGGCTAGTGCTCCAACACATTGTACGTGATAAGGGGAAGGGGAGGCTAAGGGGAGGGACAGCTCTAAGCGGTTGACCAATCACAACAGATATTTCCCTCAGAAACCTGCAGGTCCGCTGCAACTCTTACTACTTTTAAATCCAGGCTGAAGACCTTTCTTTTTGTCGCTGCTTTTAATTGAAAGTGAGCCGTTGTGTTCATCAGTAAAGTGGAACTTCTGTGTGAACTATTCATATCTTAAACTGCACTGTAACTTTTTATTCATGTCATTTTTATTCATGTCATTTTTCTTTTAATGTTTCTTTTATTATCTTTTCTTTTTAATGACTGTTTTTAAATGCCTTTGTCTGAATGTCTTTCATTTTTGTAAAGCACCTTGAATTGCCTTGTGTTGAAAGGTGCTATATAAATAATCTTGCCTTGCCTTGTGTGGAATAATGAATTCCCTCACCTGCAGGTCCTGGAGGGAGCGTCTCAGCTGCTGCAGGCTGCAGTGTGCCGGGCCGGCGGGGGGGAGGAGGGTCTGCGTCTCCGTCAGGAACCCCTGCAGCTTCTTCAGGCTGCGGCTGTACAGGTGCCAGTTCCTCAGCAGCCCCTCCACCAGGCAGCGCCGCTGGTCCGCCCGCTGCACCGCCCCCTGCCAGTGCTCCCGGAGGCGGGTGAGCTTCAGGATGAAGTCACTCCTGGATAACACAGTTCAGAAATGATGGTAAACTTTCCCTTACACTTTTAATACTACAATGATAATACACTTTGATCGTCTTACCTGTCCTCCACCTCTCCTCTCTGCAGCAGATGAAGCGCTTCAGTGATGACGGAATGCAGGATCTGGTGTCCAGAAAACAGCTCTGTCTGAAAACGCTGAAACACCAGAAGAGATCAGGATTCCATCTCTGTGTGTTGAAGGGTTTTTAAGATCTTTTGTGATTGAGTGTGTGATTCAGATACCTTGTGTGTACGGAGCTGCTGTCTGAGGCCGGTGTAGGAGCCGGCCACGTCCACAGCCAGGCTGTCCTCCATCCTCTGCAGGAAGGACATCCAGCTCTCACACTTCTGCTCAAAGCTCTGCTGCCTCAGAGCCTCCGTCTGAAGCTCACTGCACACAGTTGGAGGAAAACTAATCATCTCAAATCTGCTAAGTGCTGCACTACATTTCTTTCATGGATTTAGAGTTTAATGGGGTCAAAATCTGTCCTTAAATGTATTTATTTTGTACTCTCACATTTTGAATCAAACCTTAAAAGGATTTTGTGATTTCACTTATAGCATGACAATAAGGTGTTGAACAAAGTATTTATAAAGATCTATGTTATTTGGAGTATATGCTGAGCGTCTGATGATACTTCTGGTACAAAGTGTAGGATCACAAAGTGTGTTTTTAGTGTTAGCAACAAGGCAAGTAATCATAAAATCCATCTCACTATTAAATATCCAGATGTTTTATTACAAAGGCATAGTAAAATCATACCTTTTGGTACATGACATAAACTATAAGTTACCTGCAGGTCTCCTCAGCTCGGGCGGAGGTTTCGGTCCAGCGATTGTTGAGGCGTTGCAGGCGGCGCGCTGCAGCGTCTCCGACCGTCAGGCTGCAGCTCTGCTCATTCAGTACGTCCAGATCAGCTGACAGGCCGCTCAGCTCGAGGAGGCCAGACTGGAAACACATGGTGGCAGCTCAGATCACAAAGTCTGAACTACTGCACGCATGACATTACAGCTGAGAAATACTTCATGCTTTAAACTTGTTCTGTGATCTTCTGTCCACATCTAAGCTTCTAATATATTTAGTTTTTGACTTGTGGTTTGGAAAATGTCTCAGGTGTAGATAAACCGATTATTTATAGCTTTAAGTGTCCTTAAAGGTTCTTACCTTTGGAAACTAGTACAAAAAGTATTTTTTATCACAATAACAATTCAAGACATCTTTGTAGGATTAAAACAGAGAGGAAGAAGCAGTACTACAATCATCCTAAACTCAGTACATTTTCTCTCACCTGGTCTGCGGTGGGACTCGCATCCTGCAGTCGCTCCTGCCAGAGCTGCAGGTTTCCCTCCAGAGACTTCAGGACGCTTTCAAACTCCTGCAGCCGCTGAAGCTCCTCCTGCACGCAAACATGACACATGACTCACAGCCTACTGGGTCTTAATTTATAGGTCACTCTGATACTTAGAGCAAACAGGTGGCAGGTTACACAACACACAAGTTATGCAGTACTCTGGAAAAGCGCCTGCATCACAGAGCATATCCAAAAGTATCTACTAGACTAGACGAGCATAAGAAACGTATTTCAATTTTTTTTACACAATAAAACAATATTTTGAATTAAATAAGTTTGGATGAGCAAAAACGAATCAGTTATGCATTGTAAATTATTAAAAAGCCACACAAGTCAGCAGCATGTAACAGTAAAAGGCTTATATTTGGGTTTGTTTACATACAAATGTTAATTACCTGAGCCTTTTTTAATCTGACAGCTCATATCAATCATTTTCCTCAGGTAAAATGTTTCTTTGCTTCAGTATCACCGTGTACAGTTGTCTGAGTCACCTAGGAAACAACAAAATCCAAAATAACTTGGTCCAATCCCATAAACTCAGCGAGTTGTACCTGCAGCTGACCCAGCTTCCTCGTCACCATCTGGCTGAGCTGCTGAACTCCACGTGCCAACAAGCGGCTCTCTGATTGGACCAGACTGGCAGCTAAAGGGTCCAGGTGACCAGTGAGGTCCTTGGAGACCTTCAGCACCCCCTCCAGGTCGCACTGCAGAGAGTCTGTCCTCTCCAGGAGACTCTGGAGCGCAGAACACAAACAGATTTAGGTATTCCTTCAAAAGCAGGGAAATGTAATCTAAGTAAACTTAGAAATCATACTAAACATTTGTATATCTAACAAATCAGAGATTCTGGTTTATTTATGGCACTCACTTCAGTGAGAACAGACAGATTGCAGAAGTTTCAGAAAAAAATGCACAATTTACTCTATAGAAAATGTAAATGGGGCTTGAAATAAATAAAGTTAAACAAAATACATTTAAAAGGCATACTGTACATTGGAGCTGCTAAGTACTTTAGCTATGTAACCAGTGCAAATATACTATATCTACCTATATCTAAACAAATCTTAAGTGTTCTGATTCTGATTTCACTTCCTGTGAAGCTCTGAAATATTTGTTTGTGTTATTTATTTCCTCACCTGAGCGTTGTGAACCCTGACAGTGAGCTGCTCCACAGTGTCATGTTCTCCAGGCGCTCCGCTCAGTGCTGAGCTGACATCGCTCTGCAGCGTCTGCAGCCGGGCGGAGAGAGACGCAGCCGGCCGGGCGTACACCTCCCACAGCTGCAGGACGTCCTGACCCCTCTGGAGCTGCTGGTCCAACGCTCTGGACGATTCTGTCCAACTGGAGGACAAGAGGAACATGGATTTAATAAAGAGAGTTATTGTGGAATTAAAAATGTTTAAATATCAAATTTTTTATTGTCATATGCTCAAAATCTACAGAGTAGTTGTTTGCATGGAAATCTGAAGTCCCCGCCAACAGAGCAATATACACTAAGGACTTCAAATGAATAAGGTAGTAAATAGTGCAAGTAATACAATGGCGCAAGTAAACGCATGACTAAGTGTGTCATTTGTCTGTGTGTTTTGTGAGTGTGTGTGGGTCTCACCTGTCCCTCTGTCTGTCCAGCTGCTGTGTGAGCAGAGTCTCAGCAGTAGGACTGATGATGTCTTTGAGGGAGGAGACGCTTTGATTTAATCTGTCCCACTCTGCCTCTGAAGCAGCTGTCTCCTCATGAAGAAACTGCTTCCAACAACAAAAACAGCATTCAATTATCAGTTGTTCCAAAATAAATGATGTTCTTTCTGCTCATTTGATTCAGAAACCATAGAGCCTTTTGGCATTCTCTACATGGAGCTGAAGTTGCATAATATGTGTGATGAGGAGCAGTCCTACCTGCAGCTTTCCATGCAGATCTCTGTGTGCCTGCAGGCAGAGCTGAGGGCTGCTGTGATACTCAAGAGTCTGAGACCTTCTCACTGTTTTCAGCATCATCTGCTTCAGCTGCTTCTCCACACAATCCCACAGCTGCTGCGCCTCAACCAGCCTCTGTCTGACTGAGTCATGCTGTTAGTGACCAGACAGGATGTTTCATTATGGGGAGAAAAAGACATAACCAGAAGACAAAGACCAAACAATATATATTTAAGATAAAGCTGGCAAAAATGACCTCACAACATTCCTACCCAAAGCCCAATAGTTTATTAAAGTATGAATACATTTGGCAGACTTGTTACTATTGATGCTATGTATCATGGTTTGTATTCATTTTGCTGATGGTAATTAGGCAAGATAAAAGTGATCCAACGAGAGGTCACACAACAACAAAACCTGAAGCTTTTTTTTTAAGGTTTTTGCTAAATGCAGTCTTTATTTTTTCAATGAATATTTTCTGTTGTTGTTTATATTTATTTTATAATAGTTGAAGACATTTTAACAATGTAAGGCGCTTAGTGAATTTGCTTTTAGAAGTGCTGTGTAAATACCTTTTTTAATTGTTATTATTTTTTCCTCTACAACCAAAACTATTTCCACATCTTCATTTCCTCACTCATTCACCTGTTGTGTGAGAGCTGCACAGGCCTGGATGGATGTATCTGTTTTAGACATTAAATCACATCTGCTGTTTTCTCCTCCATCCAGTTTGCCTCTCATCTCCTGAAGAGCTTCACACCTCTGCCTGATCTTCTCCTCAAGATCCTGAAAACACAGAGAAACCAAAGAGGAAAACAAATGATTTCCGTGGAGAAGACTTTAAGCTTTATGACTTTTCAAATCCTGAGAAGGCACATTTTCTACAGGTGCTTGATTTGATAGTGCAGATGTGACCTCTGACCTGGCAGGTGCTGATGCTCTGGAGCAGCTCCGTCTGGCTGCTGGGTGTCTGAGCAGACTTCATCCAGAGGATCTGATCTGTGATCCAGCTGTTGATCTGCTGCAGGCGGGCCTCATGCTCCAACCTGCTCCTCAGCTCCTGCTCCACTTTCTGGATCTGATCACCATAAACAACATCAGGTCAAACATATTACATAATACATTTAAAAAAAGTGAAAACTTAGTTAACGTTGGTGGTAAAAAGGCAAATGTTTGCTACAACTAATATGCGTTTACCATGTCCCCAAAGGAAAGTGATTAAATCCATGTACATGCAGCCTAACATGTGATATGGTGGAAAGCTCCATACAAAAAATAACTTGTAAGTGGATCATGAGTCAGATGTGTTTATTCAATCTACAATTTCCCAGAATAAAACCAAATTTTATCCTCAACTTTTTAACCAACATATATTAGAAGCCTGAAAGTGCTATGGGTGAATCCTAACCACCACTGAGCTTGCATGTCAGCAGATCCAATCCCATTAAAACCTTCCCCACTGAAAAAGACCATGTGATGCAATTGAACATTATGAGAAAAACAAAATAAGTATCTTTGATTTGTTGTTTGCTTTCTGACCTGAGATTGCAGAGTTCCCTGCAGACTGAGCCACTGATGGTTGAGACGACCCTGCTCCTCTGCAAACAGGTTGTGTTCATAGCGCCCCCTCTGGCCCTCATCGGAACTGCAGCTCTGTAGCGGTTGGCTCACAAAGTCCAGTGTGGCGTGATGGGCCGACATTTCTGTCTGACACTCCTGAGGAAAATGCCATAGAGAGTCAATCAACTAGATACACAACTAATCACAATTCTATCTTTAGAAGAGAAGTGAAATGAATGCACTAAAAACTATTCACTACTACAGGATGAAAACACTTCAGGAATCGGGACATGTGTGGCACAGCGCATGCTTCAGCACTTCTTTACCTTGCAGTGTCTCAGGAGCTGACTCAGATCAGTGTTTGGGGAGGTTTGTGTGATCCTGCTGCGATGCTCTTCCAGCTGTGACTCAGCAGAAAGAAGCCAGGCCTGCAGCTCAGACAGGGCCTCCTTCTGGGTCAACGTCTGCATCCATCGCTGAGGAGGAGGAGGAGAGGGAGAGGGAGAGGGAGAGGGAGAGGGAGAGGGAGAGGGAAGAGGAGATAGAGGAGGAGTGTATGACTTCATTGATGTCAAACAGTTACAACACTACTTACTCAGACTACAAACATTATTTTATTTTATTCACTGTTTCAGTCATCTGACCTTCAAGACATTGAGATTATTAACCTTTCATAGTCCTCAAAAAAGCCAATAAAAATTCAGGTAGTCCAGAATTTCACATTTTGGTTAGTTTAAGATTTATATACACTGAATATGTGTTTTTTGGGAAGTATTTTTATTTTTTCATGCATATATAAGTACAGAAAGTAAGTAAGTACTTGTTTTAAATTGTGTATACATTTGCTCATTTGTGAGAAACAAATGAAATGTGTTCAATTGATATAGAAGACAATCAAAACACATAGAAGAGGGCAAAACAGCAGATGGAGGGGAGAGAAAAACTCAAACTGAATAAGAAGAGTTGACAAAAACTGAGGAGAGGGGGAGAAAATAGAGGAATGGAAGATAATACGAACAGCAGGGAGAGGAGATGAGAGGAGGCTAGGGAGATGGGACAGAAAGGATGAAGCCGAGGTGCGGATGGAAGAAGATTTTGAAATTTCAGACGGACAGAAAAGCTGGAGGGGGGAATGGTTTTCACACCAATAAGCAGAGAAGAGTCCTCAGGCTGGCATTGTGCTGCTCGGGGGGGAACTTTTAAAAGTAATTGGTGACAGGACTACTGCAGCGTGGCTTTCAAAATATCAAACTCTGTACATGTGGGCACTGAGAACCACATTTGACACGTTTTGACATAAAGAAACACATAAGGAATTACAATAAGATTCTATAAATATTAAGTAGGATAGGCCAAGATATTTTAGCATGGTTTGAAAATAAAGCTGATGTCCATTTTCACATGGAGGTTGTCTCACATGTGTTAAGAGATACTCTTGGTAAGTTTGATAGGGACTGGACCTCAATAGCATTTAAAGGCCCCATGTCATGGCCATTTCTACAGATCATAATTCTACTAGAATAGATTTACATTGTGCAATTTTCCAAACTCACATTGGTTTCTCATACAGCATCTCTGTACAGTATGTGTATTCACTCTGTCCTAAACGGCTTGATGGAGCTCCTGCCCCCCCCACTCCCTGTGAGCCCACTGTGCTCTGATTGGTCAGCTCGCCCACTCTGTTCTGATGAGTCCACCACCGTTACAGCTGAACATCAGTGATTATTTGTTACAATGGCGTTTGTTAGCAACCAGGAAATGACACCAGTAATGACAAACGGATGAGAATGCTGCGTGGGGTCTGGGTGCCGTGTTGGCGGGACGTTGCGGGGCTCGCTTCTCCGTCCCTTTGAGGCTCGAGGAGCGGAGAGCCTGTGCGCGGGACGTTGGGGGGCTCGCTTCCTGGTTGCCTGCGTGGGGCTGCGAGACAGCGAGACCCCGCAGAGCTTAGCCAGAGCACACACACATAGACAGGTCTTTTCTGTGTTAGAGTTTTACTTGCTACAGGCAGGGTTTGTGACTCTGCAGACCGTCTACATGCAGAAACACCTTCATAACACACAAGGGGACGGGTAATAACCAGAAAAGCACGACATGGGATCTTTAAACTTAGTTAATTTAAATGGTCAGATAAGCAAACGTCTTGAGTGTGTGGAACAAAGAACAACTTCTAAACTTTCTTTCAGTAACTATTTATGCAGGTTTAGCATTGACCTATAATGCCTCAGATTCAGCTAATGCTACGAGCTAACACTAAAGTTGTGATTTAGGATAATGGTTTGTTAACAGCAGCCAGAACCAGCTTAAAAAAAACTTGATTTAGCTCTTGTTTCTTTCCTAACTTAAATAATGAATGAAATGTACTTTTGTTCTTACCTTCTTAGCGACGTTGCAGGTAAATATGACGGAGGCTTTTTCACATTTAAAGCTCACTGAAGGCTTCGGGACGCGTTCTGAGGAGATGAATCAGAACAAACATCAGGATAAAGCCTTTTTGGATTTAAAAAAAACACTTTGCATTCCCAGAAACATTGAGATAAGATGTAGTGAACTGAACATATGATAGGAAATGAAACCAAATGATCTTTTCTTTCACTTTAAAGGTACACATTTTAAACAGTTGGTGGTTGTTTTGACACATCCAGTTTATCAAGAAACACTTAAATACATTTGGTTATTACTCACCCAATACACATAAAAATGTGGTTTTCAATTCCGTTCCAATTTTCTTTCCAGTTTTATCCAGAACCTCAGGCTTGTACGCCCCGTTGTTGCTCACCGTCACACTCTTCAGCCACAAGGATCCGTTTTCATGAATGTCTTCCTTTCCCCCTTTGATCATGGTTTTCGAAATCCGATTAAATATAATCAGATTGTTGTTGTACATCCATTTCAAGCGCTCTGCGTCGTTCAGTGTGTGGCCCGGCCCCAGAGGCACATTGACGTTGTCGCCCGTTGCAGCGTATAGGTCACACGGATCCTTGGAATCTTTGGGACGGAAAGAAAGGTGAGGAAACACAAAGAACCAGATTTGTAAAATGCTTCAATCAATCACATGATAAGTCAAATGCAGCATTCTGGGATTCTGATCTTTTCAAAAGCCTCACTTAGGCCCTCTGGTGGCTGAAGGGTGGTTTAAATTAGGGCTGAACGATATACCGTGTCATGGCGATAACCGCGATATGTGCGATATTCACATCGCAGGGACGTGCGATTTAAAAAAAAATTTTTTTAGGGCGTTCGATATTAAGTAGGTAAATTAACTCAAACACGTCATGTTACAATTATTTTGCTGCTTGCTACAAAAGGGGCTCTCATGTCAGGGGTACTTGAGTGGAGTGACATGCAGGCTCTGAGTCTGCATGCACAGCAAACAACTATTCCAGATGCCTTTGCCGGTGTTACACCATATGAGAACGCTTAAAGGAGCTGGTTTATAGCTGTTCTTCATTTTATTTTTATAATGTTGTTTAAAAGATGTCCACTACTTTGCTGCTATTTGCACAAAAAAGGTTTTAATTGTGGAATAAAAAGCTAAATGACCTATTTGGTCACGTATGTTAATTCCCTGATCTGATAATGAAGCTTCCTATAGTTTAATGTAATACGTTTCATCTCTATGATCCCTTCTAGACCCCACTCTTCTTCATTCACAGATGAAACCCCTTATTTGAGGGTAAGCAACCTGCATTATCATGACATGTTAGATCATGACTTAAGGTATGATGAGTCAACCAGTTAAGATCCAGACGTCCGTGACTAAAATCCTTAATCCGGTTAAATATAGTTAAAAAAAACGCAATATATATCGCGGGGGAAAAGAATATCGCAATGTCAGTTTTTTTCAATATCGAGCAGCCCTAGCTTAAATGCAACAGAAATATGTATTTATTGTACAAGCAGCTTATTATCTCCCATATTAAAGAGGCCATATAATACTTTCTGGGTTCTCCCTCTCCTGTAGTGTGGTAGAGGGATTTCTGTGCATGTCCCCTGCCTGAAACGCCTCCATTGGACGCTTCTGTTGCGCTCCAACACATTGTACTAGACTGGGCTCTGGTTTCAGACAGAGGGTGAAAAGAGGTGATGCAGCACGGGCAATATGAGAGAAATAAAGAGCTTTTTGAACATTGAAGCGTGGAGACGTGGAGTCAGATGCGGATTAAACTTCGACCACAACATCGTGTGTGAGCAGCAATGAAGCTCCTTTTTGAAGCTCACCTAGAAACGTCTACCATTCTACAAAATATAGGTGTCAAAGCCTTTATCTTCATTATTTTCGAACCTGCGTGTTCCTCACCCTCCTGCACATTTCACACAAACCATTAAATGTGAAACCGTAGCATATGACCTGAAACTCTGCCTCATACGTGTGATTTATATCCGGTCGTCTCTGAGCAGACCGCAATCTGCGAGGAAGCCACGCACAGCAAAACACACGCTCTAATATAACGTCTGCTTAAACTTCACTTGCATGAACTTAAATATATATTATTTATACTGTATTGTTTTATATTCAAAATAATCAATTTTCTGTATTAAAGGGGTGTAGAAATGGGCTTGAACTCTTTATTTGCAATGTCGCTTTGATAGGGTTTCATTTTCTGTGAAGGCTATCCACAGGAAATGGTTTCATGAGTCATCATCATCTAATAAATTCAAACATTAATATTTTCCTTTAAATAACGTATTAGAGCCTTCTTTAGAAATCGCATTATTGGAGTTTGGAGTCAAAATGGGTTTAATGAATCATTACAAAGGAAATGAAGGCTGTACCGAATGTCATTTCATTTCTACATTTGAAGCTTCAATTGATGTTTTCGGAGTTTAACTTCTACTGTCATCATGTTTTAAACCCCCCAAAAACCCTCCAAGTGAATAAAATCATTCATCGGGGTTCAGCTTTTTGGATTAAATCAACTTTGATGCTCAAAACTGGCAATTTGTGGTCGGTAAGAAAGTGATGACGAGTGAACTTAAGTCTTTTCCTATAAAAGTGTTCGAGCCAAAACGACATAACATGGGAGGTGTGTGGCGCAGTGGGTTGTGCGTTGGTGTTGGGATCAGGGTCAAACCCATACTTGCCAACCTTGAGACCTCAGAAATCGGGAGCATTTCAAAATGCAAA